GAGAGGGAGAGGGAGAGGGAGAGGGAGAGGGAGAGGGAGAGGGAGAGGGAGAGGGAGAGGGAGAGGGAGGGAGGAGGGAAAGAGAGACCTTCAGCAACCACTTCCTGTGTCAGAGGCTATATTGCTACATTACGGTAAGTTTTGTAGAATATGCTAGAAAGATCTAGAAAGTTACAGTATGGTTGTGGAAACGGTCAGAGGCCTTGGAGCTGCCACGCACCTCGAAAAACCCAACAGCCCAACAGCACAACACGCCAAACGATTTGAGGGCAGAGAATGCGGAGGTACCAGGCGCAAGTATATATACCTGAACTATGGTGGACATGAGTGTGCTGCAACGCTGCACCGCCTTTGGAAGAAACATCTCCAGGTGGACTGGAGCACTTCTGTCTCGCGTCCCCACATGATCCCTTACAGAGAACTCTGCCTGCATGTCTTGATTGATGCGAGTGCGCTACGCTCGTGGCTGAACAATCTTGGAATTGGTTGGAGGGTCAGCGCTCAAGAGTGTGATTGCATCATGAGATGCCTATAATTGAGTTATTGACCTGGCATGGCACCCAATTTAAGTCAAACACAGATTAGCTTGCAGCATCACAGCATGAGAACTGGCTGAAAGCTAAACTGTACTCTGATCTCCTCTGTCTGCAGGCTTTGTCCACATTTTCTATGTGTGTGTGTTCCTCAGTAAGGGTGTAGGTCATGCGTTGCTGCCATTGCTGTTCATGAGGTCAGGATTTTGAAAGGCAAGTGTTAATGCATTTATCCAGCTTGAGCTATGACCTTCCAATACGTAGTTAGGAATCGAGCATGTCAGGCCTTGAGTGTGTCGTTTGTGGCTAGAAGCGCCATCAACCACTCAAGCTCGCTTGGTGCAAATGGGCCCTCAAAAGATCGATCCTCACATGTCTTCACTTTTTGGCTCACGACCATGTCGGTGCGGGTGCCTCCAAGTTGCATCCAACATGTTTGGGGGGGAGGGATAGCTGTTGAGAAGTCTGTTGAGACTAGTGGCGTAAGAACCATGAGTCGAGGGAGTGGGGTAATTATCTCATGATTCAGACACAGTTTCAGACAGGTATTTGATGCAAAAGACGGTCACATATATTGATCAGCAGAACCTCTGTAACTTGGGGCCCGGAGCTGCTTGTGGAGTTTGATAGGTTTGCAGACGGTTGTTTTTTCCACAACATCATGGCAAGGTCCTATCACGTCCTATCCCACAACCGCCATAGCTAGTAGGTTGGAGGCCATTGCTATTAGCTTGGAGGCCATCGCGCTAGTAGGTTTAGTAGCAAGTCGTAGCAGGAAGCACTCGTGCAGGCGCAGACGTGAAGAAGATGCAAGTGACCTTCAACAAATGCTTGCTTAGGCTTTGCTAGGGCCGTGTGGCCCTCAGCTGGCTCCGTGATGCCTTTGTCGATTGGATTCTGGGGAAGGCCGGAACTATGGTTCAGTAGGTGGGCCAAAGGGCCAGGATGTTGGATTCCATCTCGTGCCAGGCACAGCCTGGTCCCCCCCCCCAAAGGAGTTTCTCCCATAAAAATGGCTTGTCAGGAGCCACGCACAAGAGGAGATCTCACGATTATGTTCCTGGCGGGTCTCTACATTGAATGATTCACACCTTGGCAATCCTTGGCATTTTGGTGCTGGTTTGTGTACTTTGGGGTGGGTTTAGCATAGCTCCGCAAGGAGCAGGGGGATGAGGGTGGTCTCCCAGGACAAGTGTGTCAAGTCTTCGATCAATTGCATTGTTTGACTCTGGTGGTGGATCGGTTTTCGTGCTTGGCTTGTGCCAGAGCTGGGACGGCTTTGTGGTGGTCTAGTCGGAGAGGACCACACATCATGCAGTCCACTGGCACGGCCACTTTGGAGATGTCATCCCACAAACTCGGCTCAAACCCCCCAGCTGGCAAGCCGGATGGGGAGCCATGCTGCATGCGGGCGAGTCATGACGTGTAGAGCCGTCCAGATGGCCCTCCCTTCGAAAGAAGCATCGTCGAGCGATCACTTGCCCTGCTGATCCTGAGCGGTCCCAGCAGAAAGAAAAGACCATCGACGCATATTAGAAAGACATGGGTGCGAATAGTTACAAAATACAATCTAAGAAGTAAATTGCACCCTCAATGCTTGAAGCAAGCACCCTAAGATCTGGATTCTGGATAGTAGCATTTGGTGATATTTTGTGCCATGATACTTTGTAAGATGTGACTTTCCAAATATTCTTCACGTCCAAGAACCCTCCTGCCGCCGGGGCCATGTTGATCCAATGCGGTCCGTCCGCCGCTTGCGGGACCTTCGCAAGGGGTCTCAAAGGGGTGCAATCGAGACGTGTCCAGTGACCAGAAGTTTCTCCTCGTTGAACCATGGCAAGTAACTGAGGTGCAGTAAAAAGGAGCATAAAGGAACTTCTCAATTGGCTCACTTGCAATTGAAATTAGTGGATGCATGTGATTTATGAACAACCTGTTTCATGCCCCTCACCCCATCGGCGCAAGACCCTGACCGACCGACCACCACAGGCCGCTGGGCGATGTTCCAGCGCGGGTGTGCGTTGGCGCCGTCACGAGCACAGAGGAGCCGGGTGGTGAGGCGCAGAGGAGTCGGTTTGTTCTGTTGGTGGTTGCTGCGCTTGATTGGATCTGGGTGGGTTCCAGGCGAGTCCAGGTGGAAGGGAACCCAGCGCCACCTATATAGCTGGAGCTAGCTGGCCGTGCAGCATGTTTGTATAAGCATATGGAGATCATTGTCATTATTTTTATTGAAACAAACATGACGTCCGGTTCCGGTGGACAGGGACCTGGTAGAGTGATGTAGAGAATGTAGAGTACGCTGAGCTGGAAATTTAAGAGTTCCAGTTGGAGGCCATTGCTAGTAGGTTGGAGGCCATTGCTACTTGGGTGGAGGACATCGCTACTAGGGTGGAGGCCATTACTACTAGTATCAAGAAGCTACTAGAGAAACACATGCACGCTGAAGAGTCAGGTGCCGGCGATTCCTACGGCACCCGGTGGCCTTGGGGGAGCTCCTCGCAAGCTTGCCACTGCACAGTGGCGCCACAGATTCTCCGGGAGATGTCGGTTTCAGGGCAGGTTTAGGCATATCAATAGGTGTATATATATATATATTGTTTTTTTTACACATCGATTTACTTTTGTATATATACTGCATATATATATATAGGTATGCTATAATATGACTAGGCTAGACCTATTTTTGAATAGTATAGTTATCGCAATGTCCATTCTAATATTGGGGCGGCTCCACTGTCCGCCCTTTTCTTTGACCATTTGTGGGAATCATTTGAGTCGGATAGATCCAAGAGCTGGTGCACCAAGATGATAGCGTTGGCCAGGGCATTTTAGTTTGGGATTGGTTGAATCGGTGCCGTGTGGTGGGTTTTACCTTTCTTTTGGCAACTTTCGGCTTGTGTGGCATGGTGCCTTTCATTTTCTTGTCTTTTTGGGGGCTCATATGGCTATCAGCCAGATGCTGCCCCGAGAGAGACAGAGAGAGAGAGAGAGAGAGCATAGCAGGTAATTAAGTTCTCACTCGGTTTTGGCTTTGGGGACCCTTGGCTGCCCCCCAAACCATTCCAAGCGCTACCGGCCCGACAAGTTCAAAACAAACATGGTTGAATTCTTAAAGAATGCGTTTCTTGCCTTTGACTTCTATTTCTTTAGCATTTTTTCTAGGTTTCCTTTATTTTCCTTTGATTTGCTTTGTCTTTTGTCCTTTCCTGTTCTCCTTTCAATGTTCTTTTCGTTTTACCAGTCAGCTTTGCTTTGCCTTGTCGGGCCTTGTCCATTTTCCACATTTTCTTTCACATTGTTGCTTTAGAAAGACTCTGAGAGCAATGTGTGTTCATCATGTTTTCATCCTATTCATCCTATTTCTTTTAGTTTTGCTGCATCGGGCATTCTTCAAGAAGAATGACACAGAATCAACAAAGACCTGGTCTAAGACTGGTAGCCAAATCCGCCCAAATCAAGGTCCAACTGCATTGTGCAAGCCTGTTTCGGGGATCGGTGCTGGGTGTTGCCCTCGCTTCATGGGGTTTTCACCCCAGCTCGCGGTCCTAGCCGTGGCTGGGGCGATCTGAGGCAACCTTACACCCATGAGGCGGACGACTTGGGCGAGGATGGCGAAGCAGTGCATTGCACCAAATATGTGCAGACCGAGCCTTGGATTTGGACGAATGTGTCAAACTCAAGATGGTGGGTCAAAAGCGAAACATGGGCGGGATCATGTTGGAGGTCAGAGAACAGACCGAAGAGGAGTAGCTGTAAGCTGCTGTACCTGGCCCCTGGTCTACAAATAGGCGTGGTTTTGGCGGGTTTGTTCTTTGACACGGTGCAGACTCTGACTGTCGATGATTTGGGGTTCTTTGTTCACCCAGGCCAGCGTGCCCGATCACCCAATATCCAAGCCAAACAAGGCAAACACCACGACTCTGAGACCATTCCCTGTACCTTTTCCAGATCCTTTCGGTCATTCCTCGGGTTCGATGGCGATGAAGAATTGGTTGTTCGTTGGGTCCTTGCAGCTGAAAAGGCAGCAAGCACACGTCGCATGACTCTTAGCCCAAGGTCTTTGCCTCGGAAGTACATCCTTTTTCGTTTTTCCTCAGAAATTGGATCATTGCTTTCAGACGATGAATCATTCACTCACGGTTTGAAGGATCCGAAGGTGCCCGGGTGAGAAATCCGAGACGGGGGTCATCTCAGCTTCACTTGTTGTACAATTTCACAATCAATGACCCCATCGCATGGAGTGGACGTAGATCTGAAGTCTAGAAATGTCTAGAAAACCAGTACTAAATATGTGTGATTTACTATTCACTTGGGGTGCTGCCGCTCATCAGCCGCACACTGTCACCATCGTGCTGATGCATCACATCACATCGTCATCAGCAACAGCAGCATCATAACTATCACCCTTCTGTGTGCTCACCATGCCGAAGAAGCTCAAGAAGCCGAGTCTCCTCAAACAAATTGACAATACGCAATCCAAATACAGCCCCGTGGAAAAGCAAGGATTTAGCGGCAGCTCCATGTCCTCAGTGAGAAGGGAAACAAGATGAAACAAGGTAAAGAAACGCATCAACATCATTCAACATTGTCGAATCACATTTTATCCAAATAAGCTACTAGGAACAAGTGCATCGCTTCTAGTAACAAGTGCCTTACTAGTAGTAACAAGAAGCTAGTAGAAACAATAAGCTACTATTTTGAAGGGACTTTTGTTACCGGCACCGGTGTCACAGGCCCTTGAGTCCGTCCGTCCAGGACGGCCTGTTTGCACGTCGCTTCGCCACGCTGCGCAAGCGTATCCTGCGACTGGCTGCGCGCGTGGCGCGCCAGGAAGGCGTGGCATGGTGCGTGGAGGGAAAGGGCGTTTTTGGAACCACCCTGTTCGAGGGAGAAGGGATTGATTTTTGGGTGAACCATGGACGGAAATGAGAATCTGGATCCTACAAGATCCAAGGTTTCGCCCATTCGTCAGCTGATATTTATGAGGCTTACGCCTGACAGCCGTGCGCCGGCCTATTTGGGTTTGGGTATGTGCAGGGCTGGTTCCCCGCTCTCTCTCTGTCTCTCTGTCTCTCTCCCTCTCTCTCTCTCTTCTCTCTCTCTCTCTCTCTCTCTGTCTCTCTCTCTCTCTCTGTGTCTCTCTCTCTCTTTCTTTGAGACTTGGTGGGGCCTATATTGAGCAAAGTTAAGCTATCTGGTGCGCATCTTGGCCCTAGGTTGGGCCAAGTTGCGCCCATGTGGTCTATGTTGGGCACATCTTGGGCCCAAGTTGAGCCTATGTTGGGCCTAGGTTGGCCTATGTTAGGCCTATGTTGGCCTAGGTTGGGCCTGTGTTGGGCCTATGTTGGCGTATGTTGGCCCCATGTTGGCCTATGTTGGCCCTATGTTGAGCCAGCTTGGAGGCTATGTTGGGCATATGTTGGGGATATGTTGGCTATCTTGGGCCTATGTTAGGGATATGTTAGGCAACTTCTGTGCCCAACACCTACGAAATGTCGATTAAGCCTGTCCGCGCGGCACGCATAACCGACACCACGGGCACCCTGTCGTGGACGCCGAAGGTCACGAAACACTGTAAAAAACGATGTTTTTGAACATTTTTCGAACATCCAGCGCAAGATACATATAAATCTGTCGGGCGGATTCGGGCGGGGGTCGGGCGGGGGTATCCCCGCGGTCCAACAAAAGGGTCGGCGGCAGGGGCGGCGAGCGTATATAACCTTCGGTTACCAACCGAAGGCCTCCGGCAAGGGAACGTGCGCGTGGCCGGCGCCCGGATGTAAAGGCTTACGCCTAACAGCCGGGCGCCGGCCACTTGGGTCTGTGGGGAGCATGGCGCGCCTATGTTGGCCTTGGTGGGGCCTATATTGAGCAAAGTGAAGCTATCTGGTGCGCATCTTGGCCCTAGGTTGGGCCAAGTTGGGCCCATGTGGTCTATGTTGGGCACATCGTGGGCCCATGTTGAGCCTATGTTGGGCCTATGTTGGCCTATGTTAGGCCTATGTTGGCCTATGTTGGCCTAGGTTGGGCCTATGTTGGGCCTATGTTGAGCCATCTTGGAGGCTATGTTGGGCATATGTTGGGGATATGATGGCTACCTCGGGCCTATGCTGGGGATATGTTAGGAAATGTAAATCGTCTGGAGGGCCTCTACCCACAAAATGTCGATTAAGCCTGTCCGCCCGGCCCGCATTACCGACACCACCCTTGAAAAACACAGCATTTTTGCATTTTTCCCTTTCCCCGCGTCGTACTTCGATATGCGCAATAAACCCTGTAAAACACAGTGTTTTTTATACTTCACACACACGATACACTGTAAATTACAGGGGCTTCAGTGACCCGGTGGTCCGCCCGTTTTGATGACGAGGGTCGGCGGTGGGTCGGCGGCAGGGGGCGCGCCCGTCTATAACCTTCGGTTACCAACCGAAGGCCTCCGGCGAGGACACGGGCGCGTGGCCGGCGCCCGGATTTATGAGGCTTACGCCTGACAGCCGGGCGCCGGCCAATTTGGGTTAGAGTCCGCGCACTGGATCCTCTCTCCCTCTCCCTCTCCCTCTATCTCTCTCTCTCTCTCTCTGCCTGTCGGTCTCTGTCTCTGTCTCTGTCCCTGTCTCTGTCTCTGTCTCTGTCTCTTTCTCTGTCAGTCTCTGTCTCTGTCTTCTCTGTCTCTGTCTCGGTCTTCTCTGTCTCCGTCTTCGCTGTCTTTGCCTCTCTCTCTCTCTCTCCCTCTCTCTCGCTTTCGCTTTCCCTCTCCCTCTCTCTCACTCTCTCTCTTTCCCTCTCCTATTGAGCAAAGTTAAGCTATCTGGGGCGCATCTTGGGCCCATGTTGAGCCTATGTTGGGCCTAGGTCGGCCTATGTTAGGCCTATGTTGGCCTAGGTTGGGCCTATGTTGGGCCTATGTTGGCGTATGTTGGCCCCATGTTGGCCTATGTTGGCCCTATGTTGAGCCATCTTGGAGGCTATGTTGGACATATGTTGGGGATATGTTGGCTATCTTGGGCCTATGTTAGGGATATGTAAGGCAACTCATGTGCCCAACACCAACGAAATGTCGATTAAGCCTGTCCGCGCGGCACGCATAACCGACACC